TCAGAATATATAATAACAAAGAGTAGGCAAAAAAATTGAGGTTCCCTATGAGTGTATTTAGTGACAAACTTACTCCATTACAGAGTTCATAAAGACATATGTAATTTTTCCTAAATAGAATTGAAAAACTTCAACGTAGGATAACTGCAATTTATGGAGAAAAAAAAAAAAAAAAAAAACAGAAGCCAAAGACGAGGTAATTTTCACTTCTGACTAAATCATCCCACAGATGAGACATGAAGAGATCAAGGCTGGAGAAAACATTTCCACAGTGATGCAGTTTGTCCTCCTGGGATTCTCTGACCTTCCTAACCTCCAAGGGTTTCTCTTCGGGATGTTCTCTGTAATGTACTTGAGTATCTTAATTGGAAATAGCTTCATAATTATGATAACCAGGCTCGATCCTGCACTGCAGAAGCCCATGTATTTTTTCTTATCAAATTTTTCTTTTCTGGAAATCTGTTATGTATCAGTCACTCTCCCTAGGATTCTGTTCAACCTTTGGACTCAAGATAGAAGAATTTCTTTTTTAGCTTGTGCCACACAAATGTGCTTCTTTCTAATGTTGGCAGCCACTGAAAGTATCCTTCTGTCTGTGATGTCCTATGACCGCTATGTGGCCATCTGCAACCCTCTGCACTATCCTCTCTCCATGAACCCAACAAAGTGCACTCAGCTGGCAGTGGGCTCCTGGCTTGGTGGCGTGCCATTCGAATTAGGGCAAACCTGTCAGATATTCTCTCTGCATTTCTGTAATTCTAACAAAATAGATAATTTCTTCTGTGACATACCCCCGGTACTCAAGCTGGCCTGTGGGAACACTTCTGTTAATGAGCTGTATGTTTATGCAATGGCTATCTTACTTGCAGCAATTCCTTTTATGTTGATACTTGCATCTTACAGCAAAATCATTGCCACTGTCCTAAGGCTGCCAACAGCTGAAGGACGGGCAAAAGCCTTCTCCACATGCTCTTCGCACCTGGTTGTGGTGGTTTTGTTCTTTGGATCAGCCTCTGTTACCTACTTGATGCCAAAGTCTACACATTCTTCCATAACTGACAAACTCCTCTCTCTTTTTTACACCATTGTCACCCCCATGCTCAACCCCATGATATACAGCCTTAGGAATAAGGATGTGATTGTTGCCTTGAGAAGATTATTGGTTAAAGCACAGTGCCATCCACTCACATATGAGTGACAGATTTGTCTCCCATAATTATAACAGAAACCTTTCAAAGCTATATATTCCTTTTATGCTAAATATTAATAATTTATATATATGAGCTCCTTATTAATTTTGAAAACAAATTTAACATTTACTATGTGTAAATGTATACTAAAGAATTAATTTATCTTCAATGTTGTAATTCAAATGAAAAATATTTTATTAAATGTTTTTAGTAAAATGCATTCTCTACTGCTGTCAACCCCCATTCTTCCTTACACATCTCTTTCTCACGTGCATAAGTTTTGGGGGG